CGCTGGTGGTGTGCGTGATGAGTTTCCCGGGGAAGTCCGAGTGTGTGTCCGAGATGCCATCTTCGTTAGTATATAAGCCTGGCAGTGAAAGTCAGTGGAAATAAATGAAGAGAGAGCAGTAGTTTCTTTGAGTTCCTTGTAATTTATGATTCTGTTAGTTTCGAGCTAGTGAGCCGTAAAGTGTGTGTTTGCACTAAGTTATCCAGATTGTGAATTGCTGTGATTTATAGTGTGTATTATAAAGTTGTTAAGTTTAAAGTGACGAGAAACGTACTGAATGTGGAAATACTGTGTACTAAAAGTTTGTATTGAGGAAAAATAAACTGGTTTAATCAAGAAAGGACTTGTATCGCTGAAGATATTGGGAAATAATTTCTACCGGAAACAAACAAACAAACAAGCAGATACGTAACAGAACTTTGTAACTAATGACCATTTTGTAATAAGTTTACTGTGAAATCATAAGATCTGACATGAAAATTATAAGATTTATGTTTTTTAGTGAAATCATATATCAACATTCAAAAGAAGGTGTAATCGAAGTTTTCTAGTGTGTAATGAGGTCAAATATGAACAATTTCTTGATCTAGTAGAGCCTGAACTTAAAAGTATTGCATTTCATACTTGTACAAAAACAAACAAAAAAACATCCATATAGTAAATTCTGTTAAATCTATATGTCAATTTACAACCTAAATAAAATCGTGTATTTTCTTTAATCAGATGCTATATATATATTACCTGAGATGACTGGTTGGGTTTACTTATTATTGAGATGGAACTTGGAGAACTTGGAAGATCTAAGACAGCCCAAAGCTTATTAAACACTTCTGTTCTTGCATTTTCGTCCTCTATAATTTCATTTCCGTTTGAGGGCTTAAAAATAATAGAAGATATATTATAACAGTTTTAATGATAAACACTAAAAAAACTTGAACAGCCCGAAACATTTTTGAATGATTGATTTGTAATTTCCAATATTCTCTTTACTTTGGGGATTCTGAACTTAATAGTGATTACTTACAATGACTAAAGGAATTCCTCTCACCTTATTCTAATTTGTGTTATTAAAAATCCTAAATCTGGGATATCATCAAAATCAATAAAGTTTTTTTTTTTACTAAAGCAAATCATATCCAAATATCGTTGGTAAGAACCAGCTAGTGATCAAACTTTGATCAAGTTGTGGAAATGTGTAAAACATTAAGACAGACAGTCATGCACCTTTTCATCATTACAATATACATGTAACCAATATTCATATACAGTGTTAGGTAGTGTTGTCGATTATACGTAAACGGACTATCACCTCAGGATATGAACTCTTGGCCAAAGGGTCCATTAAAAGAAACTCTGAAAATGATTACATTATATGAAAAATATAAAAAATAAAGATTATTTTTTATACACGAATACTTATATACATATGTGTGTGTGTGTGATAAAAGTAGGAAGCAAGCTCGACTAAATGTCCCTTTCCCTCAAAATGACAGGTGACCTGTAACCCCTAAATGGTGAACATTATGAGTAAACTATAATGGATGTTCTCCGGAGAGCTGTAAGCAAATATTGATGTAGATATTAATAAATTACATATAACTACACAAAAAATGTGCAGATCCAAGGCCTGTATATCAATTCATTGATCGAGTAATGATTTATAAGATAACATCACTGCTATAATTCAGCTAAGTTTGAGCTCTTGACAAGTTTTATGCCTCTAATGGTAATTCGGACAGGATGAAATTCGTGCGAAAGTTCTCTCTCTGAATCATTGAATTTCAGTACACAATTATTTGAGATGGGCGTTACTTGCCTTTCTTTAAATGAAATGTAATTCTGTTGCAAGAAATGTCTTAATTTACAGTTTGAAATATTTGTCACAATCTCCAAGCACAAAATAAAAATATGATTAATTGTAGCCAACTATTTAATAAATGTTTATTTTATTTTGAAGGAGTGATTTTGATACTAAACCTTATAAATACCAACTGGTTACTGTATAATGTACATTTTTGTAATCACTTTTCTTGAGTACATTTGTTTGTTTGTTAAATTTCGCGCAAAACTACCCAAATTTTGAAGTGACGGACTGAATAAAAGACAACTAGTCAACACCACCTGCCGCCAGCTAGTGGACAAGTATTTTACAAACGAATAATGGGATTGATATTCACATTATATAGCTCCTACGACTCAAAGGAAGAGTACGTTTGGTGATGGGATTCGAAACCGCGACCCGTAGGTTACGAGTCGGTACCCTAATCACCAGGCCATGCCAGACTTAATTAAGTATGAACAAGACTACTTATACCTTAGGACGATCGGGTATACGTGATTATCTCAGTGCTGCTATCTGTATCTTAGTGGTAGATGTCAATCTGTTATTTATTGAATATCAGTTTGGGATTATTCAGAATATATATGTGTGTCTCTTCTTCTAGAACTTATATCTCTTATTTTTACAGTTTGTAATTTTTCTAAATGAAATTGTTTTATTCTATATTTTTTGTATTAAAGGTGGGTAGTTGGTCAGTTTCTTCTAATCCTCCTTGTCGTTTGTGTGTTGATTGATAATAATTGTTAGAAGGAGATGTCTACCTTTTAAATCTCAACAGAGTTATTAATTTCATTTCTGAAATTTGGTATCATGTTTTATAAAATGTATTTATTTTTAAACTTTTAGGTAAACGAATGATATATAAACACATTTTAAACTTAAGAAAGCATAATATTCACATGGCCTGATTGAAGTTGCTCCACTACCTTGCTATTTAACATAACATAACATTAAAGGACAACAAGGGACCTTTCGCTCCATCTAGGCTGTCCTGTCCACTAAATTAAACTAAATCTCAAAGCCAGCCCTTATCATTGAAATATTTACCAAGCCTTCCTTCAAATTCCCTTAAATTAATTACATCTATCACATTTCCAGACATAAACATTCCAAAAGAAAACATGCTATAACGTTTGTCCATCAAAACTTTTTAGACTTGCTAGAATTTGCTGTCATTTGGAAGATTTTATATAGAGAGTGTTTCTTGAGGACTAACATATAAACATTTAAACAGCTTTTCTTTTCAAAAATCACACACGACATTTTTTTTTATTTTGTGGCAAATACCATTAATTAAAATGTATAATACTGACAATTTCGCCACTTTCATACAATCTTCAAGAAGAATATTATGAAAACTGATTTTACAAATTAAGGTAATAGCTACAGATTATACATAACTTACTTTTGTCTTGCCTTACATAATCTAACACAAACCTAAGCATCTTTCAAAGTTATCCTTTTCTTCAACTCTAACATAAGTTATGCCGAGTTCAGTTGTTGCCCACAGTGTGTCGTTGGTTCAGTACAAGTCACATAATTAGCAAGTCCAACACAGAATATAAATATCTTTCATCATCCAACACATGTATACTCCAACACAAACCCAAGTATTTAAACCTCTCACAGTTAGCATTTTATTTAACTCTACAGAAAGTTGGGTCAATCGTTTACCACGGTGTGGTCGGTAACTTTGTATACACTACGTAACCAATACAGTCGCTATAAACTATAAATAACTTTCTTTATCCTAGCCTTGCATACTCCAACATAAGTCCAAGTATATATCACACCATAGAAACTTGAGAATATATCTGTTATCTCTGACTTCTCTTAAATTCTGTGCTAAACTTTCTTAAATCATACATCCGATTTTGAGGACTGGTCACTTTTGGTTTGTTTCCTTTATATGCCCCATCCCTTTCAAGTCTGGCCATTGGGCAGATTTTCTTTAGCAAGGTCACTCTCAGACGCTATGGTGAATTGAAATGGGTAGAAGTAGACAAGATACACTAGTGGTCATGTATTAACACAGTCTGTGCTTTGTTCTGTGGACATCTAGCTGGAACTTACCAAACACTAAATATGACGTAAGCCTGTATATGTTTCTGTAACTTATAGTACCTTACAGAATTAAATTTGAATAATCCAATATGTATTTTAGTTATTTAGGGTTTGGTTCGATTGTTTTTAAGCACAAAGTTACACAATGAGCTATCTGTGCTCTGTCCACTACGGGTATCAAAACGAACAGAGAGTGGCTTTTATATATATATATAGATAAAGATTGGCTTTGAGTGTTTTATTTCTACTTTAAAGTTAGTGAATAAGATGGCCTAGATGGGCCAGTAGGTCCTTTGTTTGCCTTAAATTATATATGTGTGTATATATGAATTACTATGATTAATAGTCTGAAATATAAAGCTTTGTATTAGTTAGTTACTCTAACCTTCACTTTCAACATGATTCTGAATGTCAGACTGTGGACTCGAAAAGTTTAATGTAAATTCATAGAATGCTAATATTAGTTATTAGTGCTATTTAATGATGAAAGCCTAAATCTGGAACTTATTAACAAATGTTATGGTAAACATCCAGAGTACAGTTCAAATTTAGATCGGTATGCGCCAATAGTTTCATTTTTGAGCCTAACAAGATATAACACGTTCTATTGCCTCGTGAACTTGAGAATTAAAATTAACAAAACAAAGTTGTTCAGTTGCAAAATAATTTGTCTCCTTTTGACTTAATTAAATTTAAAATACAACCAAATATGATAAAACAATTAAATAAGAATGAGCCCCAAAAAGGTGTTTTTATAACAAATATAAGTCTTTCATATCAAAAAGATATCAACAAAATGTAAATTTATCAAGTTTTTTACCTGATTTTGTTGTTGTCTGTCACAAGAAGTATTCCTATCAACATATCTCTCATACATACCACCCGCTGAGTAGTTTTCTGTGTCGTGAAACAAAAAAATATATTAAATCAACTTTTGTCTTATCATTTCGGCTCACAAATTGCAAACAACTGTTTCAAGCATACACCAAGGTATAACTTGTGTGATATTCTCAGCAAAAATTATATAATGGAGTTAAACTGAATCATGACATGAATGAATTAAAAAAGGAGACTAAACACGCTTCTAAGTAAAATAAAGACAATATTTATTTTGACGACACTACACACATAAAATACATTGGACACTTGCATTTCTTTCTGCTGAAAGGACAAAAGAAACAAGTAATCCAAAAGACTTTCGTGACAAGACAAAGAGTCAACCACTATAACGTATTCGAATAAGGCCAAATCTCTCAGAATGTTTTTTCATACATATCACTCATGTAAACAAAAATAGGGAAAACAATTAGTACAAGCCTAAAGAATTTCTCAGCGACCTATTCCGTGATAAACCTCACAAAAACCAGGTGAGTGAATGACCCTTAAAGTGTTTGACTACCACAAGAATAACGTCAATGTCAATACTGTCTAAAGCCAGTTATCTACATGGTATTCTTAAAAAAGGGTGCTGACACATGTTATTGCGAATTTGTTTTTAAGTTTAGGTTTATAAAACTGAATGTTCACCTTTCTAAAAAAATAAATAAAAAACACATCCCACATATCCCCTTCCATTTGCCTTCAGAACATTCATAATATAAGACTTTTAACCTAATGAGGTAATAATAATAAACAAGATCTAGCTGTGTGTCTATGGCATCTTACCCCTGAATCAGATAAACGAACTTCTTAGCATGAAATATGGATATAACAGGCAAGTAATATCCTTTAAAGAAAAATATCGTAGAAAAAAAGGAAATGAAGAGCCCTTTAAGAACAGGCTAGCAATACTTCACATTGATCTGTGTAAAGCATGTATATTTTTATAAGATGGGGACAATTTAAACCTCATACAAATATCTCAGACTTTTTAAATTTTAGTACCTATATTTATATTTAAGGCAAACCTACTAAAGCTATTTGTCTCCATTAGGTAGGCAGCCAATGAACAGCATCCTCCTACCCACCATCTATGGTAACATATTGACTGTCACTATTATAATGTACACACAGCTAAAAATACAGGGAATATTTTGTGATAATCCACTCATAAGCTTTGAAATCCAGAGCTGTACCACTGAGCCAATTGCGATTTTAGCACAAAGTTCTTAATGGGAAAAGACCTTCACGTTTCCCTCTCAACAATACATGACATAACCAAAAAGGATCTCCATATGCAGAAGTAACACAAGTCATGTGTACTTCCACAACATATTTGTTCAACTGTTGCATACCTTATGTAGCTGGAACATGACATACATATTCTTGCTATTATATACAAAAACATACTAGTAAGGTCGCTGAATGAAGTGCTGATGAATTTATGTGCGACCAAATTGTTGAAAAAGAGTCCTGAGAAACCATCGTCCTAGTACACAAGACGATTTATGGAAATCATACAGAGTGGAGGAGTAACGCTTTAGAGATGATATAGTCAATTGCAATGGAAACTATACTCTAGGGCTATTTTCAAGATAAAGCTTGACCAGTCATGGTAACATGGACTGTAACAACTTGGCGAATCACCAGAATCGTTTTAATATAATATAGCTTTTAATCATAGTTCGATTTCATGTGTCAACATCTTAGAATTCTTGTTTTACAGTTGGGCTTTATAGTACGTTATCAATACGTGTAATACAACACATGCATGTTTGCTTATTTGATTTTAGATATTCATGTAAAGCTACTTAAGGATATTTGCCATCCAAAATTTTGATCTGATAAACAAGAGGGAAGGTAGCAAGTTAACAGCACGCACAGTCGCATCTTGGGCTACGCTTATCTGACCATAACCTTCATAACACAAACGCACAGTCTCAAAGTGCAATTTCCATCTGGCACATTATCCTCTGAGCCAATATAACCATACACGTGTAGCTATAAATGAATAATAGCACGTATATATATATATATATATATATATTATTGTTATTATTATTTAACATATCAATGTACAGGACAGACTGTCTGATGACCTGAGTACATTTCCTAAAGCAACCTAAAACTACTGTTTTCACAAACTATGTTCCGATAGCCATGTACCCACTTATCATACTGCCATTTATATACCAACAAACTCAACTGATCCTTGACATCACAAAATATACAATAATAGACAGAAGTCAGCCAAACTAAGCATTTTTAGCTAGACTTCCCCAACCTGGACCAATATTCAATTTATCCATTATAGCATACACTAAAACAAACTCAGACCAACACAGACTAAGTCCAATACTAAACAGAAACATGCATTTATTCTTCTAAACAGTTTCTAATACCAGCAACTGAACTACCATCATGATGTTAAACAATTCATGGGTCAATCAACTCTTTAGAGTTGATAATAAGTTGTTTGATCCATGAATCAACAGTTCTGATTTGTGTTATCCACTGTTTAGCCAACACATCAGCAATGGACTTCAATAACATATCAACCAGTGTAGGTGAAGTAATCAATAATTGTCAACATATATAAATTACCTTTTTGCAGACGCCTGGAGAGGACAAGCTCTATCCAGAGATATCCTCTGAAACAATTAATGTATGATTCTCTGATGGAGTTTTCCTTGGCATAGCCAGTTTTTTGCTGGACAGTACAAAGATATATTCTTTTCAACCATTATACTATTTGTGCTGTTCAACAAAAAAGCTGGCCATGCCAAGGAAAACTCCACCAGATCTCGAGACAAATGTGGTCAAAAACTGCTCTTACAAATCAACACAAGTCTCAGAAATACCCTACTGGTCTCCCGTCCCTGCATTATGCAAAGTCTAAAATATCTCCTGCCTAAAACTATGTAGACCACTTACATTACAGATTGAGAACAGTGGCTCACTGGCTTATAACAGTTGTATACACAGTGTATAACACACCATTCTGCAACGATATCTGCTCATAAAATGCCAATAGTTACGTGCATAGATAATAAATTCCTTTATTTATCACAGTAACATTTCACTAAGCTGTATCCATGTCCTTCACTTGGTCTTCCACTTCAACATATTCACCTGCACAATGGCCACAAAGAACATTGGTGTACCTTCCTTGTTTATGGCAATCACAAGTAAAGATGACCAAACATTCTTCAAAAGTTGTTATACTCCATCCTTAAACATTTGCTTGATTTTAGAAAATGTTTAAGGGTGGAGTATGTATGACTTCTGGTGTTATTGTTATTAGACTAAATTCCCATATGGTCCCACAAACGCATCAGCAAATTTGTCCAGCACCTCAATTAGTTCCCCTCTTATACTTAGTACGAATTGTCTACACAATCCTCACTTAAGAATCTCAGATGTTCTGTAACTACACGTTTGTGTTTGAATGTGGTATGACCAAAGCACCCAAGCTCTTTCCAGTTACATCCAATTCTCTAACTGCGCTGATGATGACCATTGCAGTAGGAAGTTGAGTGGCTGAATGTTAATAACCACAAATTAGCACCAGAACATTAACAGCGCTTGATTATACCTGTTCATGAAGTGAAGCCTAGTTTCTATAGAGTGACAGAACCATTAGCCAAAGTTTGTATGAAATGGCTAATGCAGTAGCTTTATTGAAGTATTCGGTACACTCAAAAAACACTCAGTGTTCTAACAGCTACTATATAAATCAGGAACTGGACCTCTCTTCTGCGCATCATTATCAGTACAAAAAGAACCCTACTCATGAAACCTCACACGCTTCATGCTTTGTCGGTGGTCAAAGCTAAATAGAGTTTCATTAATTTAATGATGCCAGAGCTACAGCAGCCAAGGTTTCCAACAACTTTCCTGCATCTGTTGTGAAGTTGGGTAGAAGTGCATGATTCTCATATTTTGTTTTAAAATATGATATAGCAATTTCGTTTGCAATGTCTCTCCAGTCCACAACCAAAGCACACACTCTAAATCTCTTATCCAGAATGCTATATACAGAAAGGTACCTGTTGCATTGTGGACAACCATCTTGGGAACCTTGGAAACCCTTACCATTTTTTTTGTGTCCATTATGGCCGCCCCAAGACACTGGGAGGTATTTATAGCAGAGTATCTTTAGTTTAGGCTTAATTTTTTAGAGTTACGGGCATCTTCAGAGGTAGTCAAGCCAATTCAGCTACCACTGTGAGCTTCTTTCTCTTCTTTAACTGATGTGAAATTACCACTTTAAACCTAGTTGCCACAGACACAGCCTCTACTAGTGTTTAGATGTTCCCAATACAAATATGATGCCACAAAGTTGCACTTCACAGAGACTCTATAAACTTATCTGAAACATAGCTCTTTTTCCCACGAAAAGAGTTTAGAAACATCTGATCCAAATGAGAATCTAGACAAGACTTATAATCAACTACTATAATGGAACATATAATACAAGTATATGAAATTCTGCAAAGACACTCTATATGGATAACTCCAGATATAACAAAATAAATGACTCTTGATAGAGCATTATTAGTACAAGAAAAAAACCAGTTGTGTCCAAAGTCGGTTATCTGCATGTTCTCGTTATTGTGTGTGCTGACACATGTAAGTATCAAGATGTTCTTAGAATTCTGACAAACAAGAAATCTTCATTTTTCTCAGCTAAACAAGAAAGAAACATTTGGTACGTTACACATACCACAACTACACTTTAAAATAATAATTTATATATGCTAATACAGTGTTATATCACCGCAGATGTGAGCCTTAGTGCCAGAGACAACTTGTTCAGAACGTATATATATTCGGATTATGGTAAACCATGACCATAAAACAGTGCAGTTCAGTTCAGTTTGGACTCATGATTTGGAGAAATATGTCACAGTTCTTCTTGAGGAGGGTTATTTATATAGCGAAATATTAAAGAAGTGCATATTTATTTAAAAGAAACCTATCGTTAATATAGTTAGTACCACCAGATCAGCCATATCCATATCAGGACGTAAAACCATTTAAACAACATCATACCACACAAAGGACTGCCTCTATCAATGTCACAGTTCTTCTTGAGGAGGGTTATTTATATAGCGAAATATTAAAGGAGTGCATATTTATTTAAAAGAAACCTATCGTTAATATAGTTAGTACCACCAGATCAGCCATATCCATATCAGGACGTAAAACCATTTAAACAACATCATACCACACAAAGGACTGCCTCTATCAATGTCAAACTTTGCTGAATCATTTCCCAGAAACCCTAACTCTCACCAAGAAGTGATTGATAACAAATTGCACGTGCCCTACTCAACTGTGAAGACAATAAATCTAGCCATTGTAGAGAAGCACAAAACTCCCAAGTTACACATCTGTAGGAAAAAGCCTAATGCAGAAACTGTATGAAGAACACTTTGTGCACGAGATACAGAAGTTTTTCAACATTAGACAAGAGGTTGCTGTGTTGAATAACTGCGAGAAGAATCGTGATTTGCTACTGACTGTGAGGCGACAAGGAGTATCCAATAAGTACAGATAACTTAAAAGAAGTTTTTAGTTAAGCTGAATGGTTGCTGTAAAAATAAACTCTACTTTCTGTTTCGAGAGTGTATTCACATCTGTTATGTGAGATATAATTCTTGCACTAGATGACTTGCGTTAATTTGGAACGTTTAATTCTATGACAGGATTTGTATATGTAAACTGTGGAGAATGAAACTGGTGCTCATGCTATCTTTTTTTCCATCATACCTGTAAAGTCACTGACTGCACCACCATGGACTTCTGTGTATTTTGTTTAGCTAAGTATGGTCTTATACATTGAAGTAAACGTGCAGTATAGGATATAATGGAAACTTCTAAAGATGTACGGTCTTAGAGTGACCTCACACTCTATCACAGAAGCTTGTTATAACGGAAATTGGGATGTCATACAATATGATCATCATTACACATAAACAGCAATGAAGGACGTTCTTAAAAGACAGCACTGGCCCTGGAACATTTTTCAAATAAAATACGATTAACCCTATTAGAAAATGATCAATTCTTGCATTTTCTTCAACACAAAGCAGCATGTTTCCAGATAAAACTAACACTGTAAAACTAAAACTAAGTAAAAGTCGTTGTTTCAGCTGTTAAATAAATCAATGTTAATGATTTTTTTCGACCGAAACTCCTTCCTCAAGCTAGTTATCGGCGATTTTGTTCGTTTCTCTAATCACTTATCATTCTTCCTATAGAATTATATTATTACTATTTAGTGTATATTCGTCTATCTAGCAGACACTATTGAATCAGTTTTGCAGACATTTCAATGTTATATCTACTATCAGTTCTCCACCAGTGAAAGACAGCTGTTTACTGCAAATTGTCCAACCTTTACTGAAAATGGCATTTAAGGTTTTCTCATAAACGTTTTTTTATCATGATTTATCTATATACTACTAAAACTCTGAGATTGTTTGTTTGTTTGTGTGTGCTTGTCTGTAATTAAATACAGCAAAAACGGCGCACAACAGTGACATATTTGTAATGAAATGAGAATAGAAACAGAACAAAACAAGTTTCGTTAAAATCGGGCCACGGGTTACCGAGTTAGCCCCGTTTTTCGGGTTACTTTTTGTACATTCCATTATTATAAAACTTCGTTTTCCACCTGATGAATCACTTTAAAATATCTTCTATACAACAATACTTGCACAACAGAAATTAAATGATGAGAAGAAAATGTGTTATAACAGGCCTAGAAAGAACAAAAATAAAATGGACATACAATATTATTGACTATTTGCAAATAGTAACTATGGAGACGAGTTAATAAAAGTCGAGAACAACAACAAAATTTTATAAATGAAAACCTCTCGCCGAGCATTGGTTATTATATTATTCCCTGCCAATGTTCCCATCTTCATTAAAAGGCGTGAGATGACAAAAACAAGATCTTGAAGAATCTATCTATAT